ACGGCAGCTGCCTTGTCTGCCGGCTTGCAGAGTTTTCTTCTACTCATTTCTACTCTGTCATTTTCTAAAATAAGGTGATAGGATAACAGGAAGGCAGAAAAATCACTCTTGTCTATTGCATATATGTATTTGGGCAGGATTTGCACATGTTACTTTTTAATTAATTAATTAGAATGGGAGAAGAAGGGGAGAGGGGAGGGAGAGAGAATGAGAGACAGAGAGAAGGATTGCCTCCATCTGCTGATTCACTCTCCCAGATGCCCGCAACAGCCAGGGCTGGGTCCTGCTGAGCCAAAGCCGGGATCCAGGAACCCCAGGACGAACCAGGATGCGCATTAGCAGGAAGCTCGTTCCTAGGGGAGGTGGGACTAGGTCCCAGACACTCTCATACGGATGCGTGCGTTCCAGTAAGTGGTTTGTTAGTGTGGGCTTCTTGTCTTCACTCAAGAAAGAATTCAGGTGTGAGACAGAGAGCAAAGTAGCCGGGTTTTTGGGGATAGGGCATCTGTCGAATGGAAGGGATAGAGAGAGTGCTCAGTTGCTTCAAATGGGGAAAACAAGGTTACATGGTTAAATGGAGAGATGCACGTGGCAGGCCAGGCTGGACACTCAGCAGAGAGCTGAGTGCTGAGCGCAGGGTCTTTGTCCAGACTGGGATTTTTAAGGGAAAGGGGGTCCAGGTTTCTCCTTCTCCTCCTCTTTCTCCTCCTCCAGGATAGAGGCTTTGCTGAGTGTAAATTAGGAAAAATTCCTCCCCAGGGTTTATACTCAGTGCTGTCAGGCCGGGAGGCCCACCTGGTGCTGGGGCAGAAGTGCTTCCCCTAGGGTACCCGCCTTGGAGGAAGGCTGTGAAGGTTTTACGGCTCCATGGTATCCCATTTGGTGCTGAGGTCACAGGATCTCCTGGGGAGCTTCCCTTGGGGAGGGGCTGAGAGCACCTGGGGAGTTGTCAGGGTCTGGGCAGGACTTGGCAGTGTAGACGCTGGGCTGCGTCCAGTGAGCATCCGCAGGGGCGTTCCTCTCAGCCCTCTCACACCACATGGGCCCATCTCTAGCTTCCTACCTAGCGTTACCCCGTGGAGAGAACACCCATAATCCCTGGGGTAAAATGCATGGCCACCCAGCTTCTGTAGTTTCTTCAGAGCTGCCATGGGCAGAGAGCTGGATGGGGTGTTCTTCTCTTGGTGTCTGTCCCCTGGTGTTGGAGGGTGCCTTGGGAACTACTGTGCTGCTTGGTCGCGAGGACTGTCGTGCTGTCTGATGGGTGGGCTGCAAGCCCTGTCTCAGAAGCACCCGGAGCCGGACGGCTTGTCTTTCAGAGGCAGGAGTCTGCAGAGGGCAGAAAGGCTGTGGATGCCGTGTGCCAAGGAGAGGCGGTGACCAGCATTCTCACGAGCAGATGCTAGGCCAGATAGTTCAGCCTTGCCTCACCTGGTCCTGAGTTGTCTGGCCTTGTTTAAGACATTAAAAATGTCAACACATTTTTGGAGCAGACACTTTCGTGGGCAGCAGTTAGCAGGTCCAGAGCCTGCCTGTGTTGGAGGACTGGGTGTAGCAGTCCTGTTGTGAGAGCCCTAGTCGGGGCAGCCTTTCAGTGGACAGAGGCTGTTCATTGTTCGCTTGTTTGGTTTTCCCCGGGAGGAGGGGAACTTGACCCTGTCCCTGTGTCTAAGAGTTCGTGATCTATGAGGGAAACGCAGGGACTGCCTAAGGTTGCAGAGGCAGGAACTTGCTGCACGGTCTGTGTCTTCTCTGGGGCTGCTCCTCCCTCCACAAGGGTTAGGAGAGGGTGGAATCATTAACTTTCTGGAGGGCGAGCTGCGCTTTCTCCCGGGTACCTGGTAGCTGCATTCTGCGAGGAAGTTAAGGGTGTTAGTGCACAGACCGGAGTCTCAGGTTGGGGAGGGAAACAGACTAACCCACCATCTACACTCCAGATTATTTCACGTGCCCCTCAAGATAGGT